CGGATCCGTTTGTTTATCATTCGCAATCGGATCGGATACGGAGTTCGCGAACCGACAGAATACGGAGGAACACGGAATAATGTGATGTGGTTTTCTGAAAACGGGTCGCGTGCGGTCCGTATGCGGTTCCTATTTCAACCCAAACGCTGAGCGTCCGTAACGGATCCGTTCGCATTTTACCTGTGAACGTTAATTTCCTGAGAATAGGTTTAGCCCAGAAAAATAGAAGGGTTCTTCGGAAGTACCTTGGAGCTATGAAAAATTCTAATACTAGTCTTACTGTATATCATTTGAAAGGCCTTAAAATTACCTACAAATCTAAATAAGAATCAAAAAAATCAGACAATCTTAAGCAGAGCTATGCGCCTTTAAACTTTGAAGGGTGAGGAGGAACAGACGGCGAGAGCACTCTCGCTTCACTGCGTCTCCACTTCGTTTAGATTACTTTGAAAGCTTAGAACGTTTTGTTTTCCTGACTTTTTATTTAGCTTCAAATCATCAAGTTGGGAAAACAATTCGCTGAAAGTTTTGAGCGAAATTATAAAAAAATTAAATTATAAAAACATTTTATTAAAAAAACAATTTTGACTAAAAATTTTTTCAGATCTTCTACTCCACTTCTTTGTCTCTGTCTGGTATCACCAATACTACTACATCCCAAACCGCGGCTTCAGATTTTTCGATGAACGTTTGCTTCGCCATCGAAATATCGATTTTCCGGAGGAGCATTAATTTTTTAGATATATTTTTTCCAGACTTTTAATTCCCTTTCAAGTTCGAAAATTCTGAATTTTCAGGAATTTCCAAATTTCTGATGTTTTGGATATCTGAAATTCAGATTTTTCCAGAAATAAAACTTACTTTTTCTTCAGAAACCAGCTCTTTGAATTTTTTTTAAATTTCAATTTTTCCAGAAATAAAACTTTGAGAGAATCCCATTTCCAGGTCTTTTTTTCCAAGAAAATGGTTTATTTTCAGATACTTGTTACCCAATACTGTAATTTCAGAATCTCAGAATTTTCCATTTTCTTCAATTGTTTTGAAAAATTCAGAAAATAAAAATCAAAACTTCAAAATGATAGATCTCTCCGGTCAGCACAATTTCCCAGAATTCGATTTTTCTATTTTCTGACTGTCTAGCATTTTCCAGAATTTTATCCGAAAAAAATGAAAAACTCCAGTTGCCACGCCCCAAAAATTATGCAAAAAAGGTAACGCAAAATTATCATATCAGTCAATTCCTGATTAGCATATCTATTGACTATTTTTACATCTTTTTTGTTATGTGGATGGTCGAAAATCAATGATTTTCTGAATTTCTGAAGCCTTGTTTTTCAGAATCCTTATTTTCAAAATTTCTGAAATTTTGACTTTTCGAATCTTGGAATTTCAGACCCTTCGATTTTCAGAATCATGACCCTGCAATCCTTGAGTCTTTCATTCATTCTAACTTCTCAATTTCTCACATTTCTCACCTGGTTCATCTTTTTCTCCTGTCAATCTTGGCTGACCATGGGCTGGAATTTCGCATGCAGTAATTTTTTTGCTGGGTTATCAATCTCTATTATGAACAGATATTCAACAGCTCTTCGTTTGTTTTATAGAATTGAGGTATGGTTTTTTTTCTATACAGAAACGCAAAAAACACACTTGTTCCGAAAAATGTCAACTTTAGAACCCTGAAAAATTAGTTCAGAATTGTTCGATTTGTCTGAAAATTTCAGAGTATACTAAATAAAATTAGAGCTTTTTTTGTAATTAATAACTTTTTGTAGCTTTGTTCGCTTTTGAGATATGCGCCTTTAAAGTGAGAGTGCTTCTCTGCGTCTCTTTTCTACACTCTAAGCGCGCCCTCACTTTAAAGGCGCATATCTCAAAAACTATCACAGCTACAAAAAAGTTGTCTATTACAAAATTGAAGTTCTAATTTTGGTTAGTATACTCTGAAATTTTCAGACAAATCGAAAAATTCTGAACTACTTTTGTAGGACACCAAAGTTGACTACTTTCCACTAAAAACGGTTTCTGAAACTTGAAAAGTTCGAAATATTCTTAGATTTTTGGAAAGTTAAAAATTGAATTTTCTCGAAAATTGAAATTTCATATTATTCTCACTATTATTAATGGACTCGCAACTGTTCTTCTCGTCGGTTATGGATCGCTTTTGCCAGATATTTATCAAGAAGACAAATACTATGTTTATGGATTATTTGTAGGTGAGTATCCATTTTTCTCAGATTCTTAGGTTCTTAGAATCTGGATAAAACTAATTTCTCTCTTCTTCAGAAATGGCTGTGCACCTCATAATCTACAAAAAATTCATGGAAGAAGAATATGCCGATGCCGACGGTGAAGAAGACCAGCCAATAAACCAAATTGAGCAAATGCGCCCTATTCCAAATGTTTTTTATTACTGAAAAACTTTGAAAAAGTTCATTTTTGGGATTTGTTGGTTTTGTTCTCTTTTTACCAGATAGTAACTTTCAAATGTTTTTCATTATTTTGGTTTTTGGGATTTCTTGTCATTAGAATAAAGTGTATAGAATTTCGGAATTTCTTAAGAATTTCACAATTTCCTAACCTCAGAACCCCAGAGTTTCTAAACCTCGCAGATTCCGAAAGTTCGGAAACATTTACAATGAGATTCAGATTCGAAGACATCGGAAAGATTGCACCGGTCTGAAATTTAGAAATTCCACGTCTATTGTATACCCAAATTAATGACCCGGCCTACACAATTAGCTTGAAAGTCGATATTTTGCAAATCTGAAACCTGTTTTGAACTTTCCAGAACGATCAGTACGGGCAGAGTCAATGATTCTTCCCGGGAGCACTAGGGCTATTCGGTCACATATCATATTTATGACTAAGGACTACTGTCAATGTTTTTCCCAGGAGCCTAATTGTAACTCGTAAACCAGGTGTGGTGGGAAACCAGGTGGGTCTATCTATCCAACAACGAGTCATTCCATATCCAGCATTCAGCCTTCCTTGGTTTTCGACGTCTTCTTTTTTGCTCTGTATTATTGTTTTCTAACCTCATCTTCATATTTCCAGCTTACCTACTAATCTTTCTGTACCTAACTGTAATTAATCGCTTCATTTCCAGCATACCTACTAAATTAACTAGCCTACTGTACCAATGGGACGTCTTGCCAACTCCTCCCCCACCCCTCCAGCCATTCAAGGCATCGAAGAAGACGTTAGATCCAATTTCCGAGGACTCGGCATCGAACAGATCACCATGGACAATGCCCAGGTGTCTAGCCACGTGGCAATGGTACAGTACACCGAGCGACGAGATGCATTATGGGGACGAATCGAGGCGAATAAGGATGTGGATCCACAGATGACGGGTCCATTTTGGCAGGAGGAATTCCACGATGCATTTGCGAGAATTGCCACTGGAGAGAGGATGATAGAGAGGTGCCGAGAGGTTCAGAGGATGCATTGGCTTCATATGGAAGGACGGATTGAGGAGTCGATGAGGATTCGTGAGGCGATTCAGGAGAGAATGGCTGGAAGACGTCAAGGTGTTGAAGACGAGATGGAGGATTCTGACGTCAGCGATGATTCGGACGATGAAGACCTGGAAGCTAGGGATTCCGAAGATTCCGACAATGAAGATCTGGAGGATTCGGATGGTTCCAGCGATCCAGAAGATTTCGAAGGCGATGACAGCGACGTGGATGATTATGAGATAGTTCTGAATCCAGAAGCGGACCATGAAGACGTTGGGGACTATGGGATGGTTCAATACAATGAAAATGAGCAATCTTCGGAATTTGAATACGTTGTCGAGGACCTGGACGATTATGAGATGCTTGAGTACAACGAAAATGATCAAGAGGAGGACTTTGAGAATCCAGAATTCGAGTATGAGCAATTGGAGCACGAGCAGTTTGAGATTGTGTATTACGGCGAGCAGATGGAGAAGAGTGACGATGAAGAGATTGATGTTGTTAATTGATTTTTTCTGTATTTGTTTTTTTTCCTGACTTTTTCATTTTTAATAAAATTAATTTTTTTGAAAAATGCCTTTTTTTTTTTAATTTGAAAGTTGGAGCTTCCAAATGAGAAGAGAATGGACATTTTCAGTAGCCAGTAAGATTCTGATGGTTCCAGTGATCCAGAAGACATCTAAAATGATTCTGAGCTGTCTGACGATTAAAATCTGTTGGATTCTGATGTTAGCGACGTCGTAGCTGCTGGAAGACGACTTCCAGGTGTTGTGGCTGATGCTTCCAGAAGACGTCTACTATGATTCTGAGCCATCCCATGACGACCTGGAAAATATGGATCCAGAAAATTCTATCGATGAAAGCCTGGAGGATTCTGAAGCCAGAAATTCAGAAAATCAGGAATTCAGAAATTCAGAAATTTCAAAATTCAGAAATTCAGAAATTCAAAAATATAAAAGTACGGAAATTTCGAAATTTCGAAATTCAGAAATTTAAAATTTCAGAAGTTTAAAATTTCGGAAATTTAAAAATTCAGAAATTCAGAATTTCAGAAATCCCAGAAATTTAGAGATTCCGAAACTCAGGAGTTCGGAAGTTCAGAAATTCAGACCTATCTTCAATATTTTGCATTACAGGAGCATTTTTTGCTCCACCTCTTTGTGAAAATTTTTCTCTAAAAATATCTCTTTTCAAAATTCTCAACATCTCTATGGAGGCTCCATGGAGCCACCATGGCGATATCATCCTTTCCGCCGGGAGTGTCCCTTTTATTCAACTTCAAAACTTATTTCTTTTGGAGAGCCCAAACATATATTTCACCATTTTAAGCCTATAAAAATCTAATCAAAATTTTTTCAGCACCATGTTCAACCCATCCGACAATTTTGAGAAGAAGATGGAGCACTTTAGAATCGCCTTTCTTCTCATGTTCTTTGTAAGCAGCGTCTGCGCATGCTCAATTTTTCTCAAATTCGGAATTGATAAGATTTGTCTTTTGATCGACATGAAGGTACCGAATTCCAAGTGGTACATCTTGGGCATGTTTGGGTTGATTTATCTTGATTTAAAAGGAAGTTACAAAAATTTTGTTAATAATTGATTTGTATGAAATTTAATGCATAAAATTTTGTTATTTGACTATTTTTTGATATCTTCATTAGGAAGCGAAATAATTGGTTCAAAATAGACTTTTCTGTTTGGTTCAAAAATTAAAATTCAGCGCTAAACAATATCTGCAAAATAATGTTAAATTTGACTTTATCGGAATGCCGAGATTCTGACCAGAAGCTGCCGAGGGAACTCTGGCCCATTTTGGCTCAGTTTAAAGGATCATAACTCGGTTGAATCTTGGAATTTTTATTTGCTTCGAAAATTAAAATATAGAATAAGACAAGAAATACAAAGTAGTATTAAATATAATTATACTTGAATGCCGAGTTTGAGACCAGGAGCCGCCGAGGCCTTCCCGGCCGATTTTGCCACCCTTTCTTAATTTAAAGGCTCATAACTAGGTTCAAACTTGGATTTTCTGTATGAATAAAAAGTGAAATGTAGAACTGAATAAGATCTACAAAATTATTTTAAATTAAACTTCATTCAAAAGTTGAGTTTTGGACCAGAGGTCGGGAAACAGTGGTGAAGCCGAAATCGAACCTGGCATTGCAGGGAACGGGCAATTGGCGGAGAGCTGGCGGCCGAGAGGGCGCCTTTACTGGGAACCTTATTATCTTGGTTCCCAGTGAAGATATCAAAAAGTGCTAAATTAATAAAATTTTCTACATAAAATTTCCTACATGATAGTCTACAATTTTTTTCATTTTTTCCAGGTGGAATCATCTACATGCTTCTGGCAATCGTGGTCATTGCATTCTTGACTCGTCGTGTCGCCGAGGCCATTATGAAATCGTGTGTCACTCTTCAAAAAATCAAAATTGAGGAGGCTGGAATTAAGAAGAAGTTGGCGGAGACTGTCTAAATTTTTGATCTTACGAAATCGTTCAAATTGGAATAAAATTGTTTCTTGTTGGTTATTTTATACAGTGAAAAAGAAATTTTGAAAAAGAAAACATCGATTTTTTATGTCACAGAGAGCAGCAAACGGAAAGATTCAAAAGCTCTAAAAATCAGGAAAATAAGACATTTTGAAATTCATTAAAAAATCTTTCATCATTCTCGCTCGCGGATCTCATGGGCATATTCTCGGAGTTCTGGAAAAAAACAATTTTTGGCTTTCGAACTTTGACCCAATTTATCTCATTTCATGTGAATGACATCAAAAAGTGATCAACTGATAAAATATAGCTGATAACATGATAAACATTTTATTAGTTGACCACTTTTTTGTATCTATAATCGTAATCGTGATAAATTAGCTATATGGTTACTGTAGCATAAACTCACTGATTCCAACAAAAACAGCATAGAAAATGGCAAGATGAGAGCTGAATTTATCGTTTTCGACGGGTTCACAAAACAATGTGAAGTAATTCAGAGCCATGACAAACAGTAGTCCCCACTGGAAATTGGAATTTTTAGATTTTCTTAGAAGTAATTTTTGACACAAAAAAATCGATAGCTTACGTTTTTTGAGATCTGTTCAAGACATACTTGTCAAAATCGCCTTTCTGGAGCGGAACTCGGTGATCAAATAATATCAAATTTAATATCATTTTGTAGGTCTTGTTAAGTTCTACATTTTACAATTTGATTCAATTTGAAATTCCAAGTGTAAGCTGAGTTATGCACAAAAAAAAGGAGGAAGCAGGGCATTGGCGGGCAGCTGGCAGCTTATTATCTTGGCTCCTAGTAAAAAAGTCAAAAAGTGGCCAACTAGTGAAACGTTTTACATAAAATTTGCTGCATTTTTCCAGTTAACAGATTCTGTGTATCTTACCGTACAATACAACAAAATCCTCAATTTTCGTTCCATCGGCAAAACTGTGATTCTCTCGTCGGATATCATTGAAGCGAGATAAAACAGAGTGGAGATTAATCCAAAAACTGCCGGACATCCTAGAAAATTTGCCCAAACATAGACAAAGACATATGCAGCTGTCCAACAGGTCTGCAAAAACACCCCATTGAACAAAAATCTTGCAACTCTTCGAGCTCTATTATCTCGGTTCCTCTCAAAGATATCAAAAATCTGTCAACTGATGAAACATTTGTTATAATATCACCAACATTTTTGTAATTGAAAGATTTTTGATATCTATGGGAACCAAGATATGGGAACCAAGATAAGTCGGCTCAAAATTAAAGTTCACCATCGCCTCATTGTTTTCTATAAATTCACGAATGTCCATACTCATTTTTTCCCTCTATTGTTGATGTGATTTGGCTGAAACATAGCTTTAATTGTAAAAACAGATAGAAATCTTTTGAAAAAGCGTACAAAAAACAGTAAAACATTTTCTGAAAACTGAGAAATTGTGAAAACGAAAAGAGCAATTATATAGATGACATATAGTTTATGGGGGCTAATTAACTTGGTTTTTTACAGCAAAAATGGATTCGAAACAGAGCAATTATGACATATACACTTTATAGAGCCTAATTAAATTTACATTTTTGCTGGAAAAAAGATTTTATAGCAAGCTAACAATAAGGCTCCGAGATCCTATGTTGTTGTATTTTAAGAAATTATGTATTTCAAGGATTACTGTAGTTTCGATGTTTATATGGGATTTGTCTATGGGGGGAAAATACTGGGTTCTAAATTGGGTACAAACTAGGAAAATAGGAAATTTTGAAAACAATAATTGGTGGAAAAATGAAAAAGGAAATTGAAATTTTAGAATGATAAGTACAATGTAAAATAAGCTAGAACTTAATGAGTTAAACTATGTCAGTTACTGTGAAGTTGGATTGAAAAACTCCTCTCAACGTTTCAAGCGGTAGCGAATGACTGAAAAAAAATAAGAATTTATGTCTCCCAAGCATTCATCACATACCTCCTTCCGCGAAAATTGTGTAGAAAATAGCAAAATGAGAAAAGTAGTGCTCAGTTTTTGGATTCTTGTAAAACAATAGTCCGAACTCGTTGACCGCAATGATAATGATCAAGGCTCCCTGGAAAAATATATGTATGGTACTGCAAGCTTAATTATCTCGATGGCTATCGAAGATATCAAAAAGTGCTAAACTGTTAAAATGTTTGTTATAAAATTTTCAACATTTTATTAGTTGACAAAATTTTGATATCTCTAATAGGAATTGAGATAAATCGGCTCAAAGTGGACAGTTCGGCTTTCTATTAGATTATTCTACAGCATGAAAGCCACACGTAGGTCTAGATGGAAAGCCGCATTTTTTGTTCGCCATCTTTCCACGCACTCTCTGTGGTCGGTCATGGTAAAGTGGCTAATGCGCTATGCTTTTGATAACGTCACGCGGGTTCGAGTCCGACAGGTGGCAATTGTTTTTAGTTTTTCGAATCGAGGCCCAAAAATGCATAGACGTCTGCTTTTGACCAAATTTTCAAACTTTTTGTAGACAAAAATTCTTGATATCTTCTCACCCTGAAAGCCCTCCGAACCGCCCGTCTTGTTCCTCTTCTGTACTCTAAAATCTCACGATCCGTTGCAACACAACCCCAACAAAAAATGAAGTTGATTGTAATAAAGACACCCGGAATACCGGTGATAGCCATCCAAATGTGAATGAACCAAAAGATTCGGAGATAGGTGAACTGGAAAATGTTAAGGATTACGGTATTTCGTGCCACCCAAACTGTAAACTTTGAGCTCAATTATCTCGATTTCTGTAAAAGATATCAAAACTATTCAACAGATAAATTATTTATCATAATATCACCAACATTTTATCAGTTGATAAATTTTCGATAACTTTTACAGGAACTGAGATAATTGAGCTCAAAGTTGACGGGCTTCTAATAGAGGAAATATCCTTTTTTGAGCCTAACTTACGGTAAGATTGATTGGGTTGGCTTCCTCCATTGCTCAGTTTTTTGAAAATTCCGGAATTTCTAAACGAATTTTAAAATTTCTAGAAGTTTCCAAAATCAAAAGTAAAGCTATTCTGAAACTTCAGATTGATATATTGAGAATTGATTAACCTTTTTTAAACTCCAAAAAAATTTATTGGCTGAATAGGAATTCCAAAAAATCACAAAAAGTGGAAAAAGTGAGATTCGGCAAAAAGAAAGGCAAGAGAAAATTACTTTGAAAGCAAGGGAGCACATTAAAATGTGGGTGGACGTTGATGCGAAAAAGGGGGAAAACTTGAGTCGATTAGATGAGAAAAAAGTAATGGGTGGTGTCGTAAAACAAGGATTACGGTAGTTTAGAAAAAAACCAAATTTGAGAAATTAACTTGTAAGGGAGTGAAGGGTCATTCAAAGGTAATGATGGTTGTGAGGGATGGGGGCGATTTGGGTTACGGTAGAAATTGAAAAGATTTTGAAAGGTTAGCAATAGTAGACTGTCGGAAACTAGAGCGCGGCTGGCCGCAGCCCGAGCAATGATCGAGAGGAATGCATATCTGAATCTTTCTCGATTTCGGCGGTTGTCAAATTTTGATAGTTTTGGTAGAGGACAAGCATTTGGAAGATATGAAAATGAGCAATTTGTACAACAACAAAAAAGAGACTCGTTGATAACTGTTATAGAATGAGGCAAAAATATTGTGCCATTACAGAGCGCTTGAACTTTAAGCTCAATTATCTCGGCTTCTATAAAAGATATAAAAAATTGACTATATTTAAAAAAAATTGAGGATATTATGACAAACATTTTTTTAGTTGACCTATTTTTGATATCTTTTACAGAAGCTGAAAGTAAAAGGTCTTTCTATTAGAGGGTTTTTTTTCGAAACTCTGAATCTTGGTAAATTCAATTTCCAGCATTTTTCTCTGCTATCAGGATTCCGATTCAATTTATTTTCTACTTAGATATTTCCGGGAACTTTTAGAAATTTAGAAAATTCGAAAATCCAGAAATCTTCAAATTTTCAGAATCATTTCAAAGTGCGAAATTCGAAAAACCGTATCACACAAATTTTAAGAATACAACACTCTGAAAAATGTCAAATTCTCGTATTCATGATTTTTCAAACCGTTCAGAAATCATTGTTTACACTGTTTAGCGGTGAAAAATTGAAAGTGATACTCAATTTTTTTCCTTTTTTTTTCTTCATCATAAACAATTTTTACCAAACTTTTTTCTATTTTAAAGTTCAATTTATTTCATTATTCGTCTCTTAATATTTTATTTATTTTCCATCAAAAAATAAATCTTGTTTTGACTATTATTGGCATCAAAAATACTAACACCAGTAGTAAATAGTCAAAAATTAGAAGGAAGACAAAATACAAAAAAAAATCTGAAAAGTCAAAAATACAAAAGAGAAAATATATAGTCTGAATTTTTACGATTTTTTGAAATATTTTTTGAAAAGATTTTTTTTTCTGAATGAACGAAAATTAAAAAAAAAAGATTTTTCAGCTAATAGAAAGCGCTTAAACATTTTAAAACAAATTAGAACAGTCTTAAAAACGACTGGAATTTCTGAAAAAAAATCTGAAACACTCAAATTAAGATTTCCACAGGTTTTTTTCGAAAACTAAAAATTTCTTGAAGTTTCGAAAACTGAAAAATCAGAAATTCTAAATTCACGAAAACCCTTTCCGCTAAATGAGACAAGGCCATCGTAGTCCGCCTAAATGGGCGGAGCTTGCTCATGTACTAATTCATCAAAGGGTTCATTTTTCAAAGGCTCTCCTCAGCTCTCCTCTTCATTCTCTTTGATTGAATGCATCCCCAAAAAAACCGTCATTTCACGCCCCATCTAGGTCACACAGCTGCTTCTTTTCTTTTTTTTTTCTTGAAAAAAAGATCGTCGTACCCCTGCGAACATCTGTTGGGCACAAGGAGTACACAGAGGATTCAAAAGGCCCCATTTCTATTTTTAATTTTAATTTTCTGATTAATGAAAATAATTAATCCATTTTGGATTCAGTTTCTCTTTTTTACTGTCGTTGTCCTACTTTACCTAGGAAAAAAATCATTAATAATAACATTCACCAAATTCTGTATGTATGTAGCGTGCCTTTTCCCTCATTCAAGGTTAACCGATTGAGTTGAAACCTGACAGGTAGGTCAGAAGTGCGTCTTAGTTGATGCCCGAACTTTTCTTTTTTTGAAATTTTGATTTTGAAGTCTTCTGGAGACGTTCCTTGATTTCACCGCAGTAAAGCGTGATGGGCAGCAAGGGCGAGGAAAACCCACACACGTAAGCGTAAGGAGGTTAAGTCCCGGAGGTGCGTAAACCGACTGGTTAAATATTAATTGTCATAAAGACTAGTTATCATGATAACAAAATCTTTAAAGAGGAAAGCACGGACCGCTGGCTGCCCAAAAAGAAGGGGTCACTTTAAAGCAATTTATCTCGGTCCCTGAAAAAGAAAGCAAAATGTTGTATACGTTTTCCAGGCACCAAGATATTTAAGAATGAAGGTTATGGTATTTTCAAGATCTCGATATTTCGAAATTATGAATCATACTACCTAATAGCAAAGCCAGAGCATTAGTTGTTTATCTATCAATATTCCATCGAACAAAAATCAAAATTTCTTGAATTTCATTTTGGATTTAACATTTTTGAATAAATCCCTTTTTAGGACGAGGGGCTTATCTAGATCTATGAAGGTCCTAGGCAAATGTTGTCGGCGAGAATCTGGAGCTATATTTTAGGTCATAGAGGCTTAAAACCAAAATTGTTTTTTTTTCTAAAATCCCTATGTTCCAGAAATATTCCCGTTAGAGAATTTCATATCTTTTTCAAATCTCAATGATTAATGATACAATCAAAAGTGCAAAAGTGCAAATATGACCTTTTTAAATCTACAATACCATTATACAGAATCACTCTGTTTTTCTCATGCATGTGTACATAAACCCTTTCTATGTGATGCAAAAATTTCCACAATCCACTTTTTTTTCGAAAATCGTTTTTCGAGATTTTCTAGAATTTTCCCAATCTCAAAAAAAGATTGGAACAGAATCATCATTTTTCTTCTCTCCTCTTTTTCAATTTCGAAATTATTTTTCCATTTTTTCTGTGATGATGATTTCTCTGCGTCTCTCATAAGCTACATGATATTTTTCAATACAGCTTCCTTACTGTCCTCCGCTTTTTATTTTTATTTTCCCTCCGTTTTTTTTATATTTTTCTCAGTTTCTGACATTTTCAAGTTTTTAAAGCTAAATAATCAACTTTTCTGTGTTTCTTCGATAATTTGTAATTCGTTAGTGTTTTAGAGACTTCCAGAAAAAATTGGGATTGTCTATGATTTTTTTGAAACCCTGTTTTTGGACGCCAGCAATCCGTTTTCCTTAAGTTTTGGCTTAAAAGGGGAAGGACGGCCCAAAAATGGGGCGACTTTGAATCAATTTATCTCGGTTCCTGAGATATCCCAATTTTGTCAACTATTAAAATGTGTAAAATTGAATTCTACCCAATTTATCCGTTGACAAAATTTTGATACCTTTCATGGGAACCGAGATAACTTGATTTGAAGTTGCTCTATTTTTGGGCCGCCAATGGTCCGTCCCTGAGCCGCCAGCGGCCCGTTTCTTCGCCGTATTTAAGCTGGAAGCGACATCTTCAACAAGAACTCAAATCTTAGAGGAGCTTATAATTGCAATAAACTTGTTTTTTCATGTACCCTAACTTCAATTTACAAGAAAAATAAATTCCAGATGATCTACGTCGACGGTGTCCACGAACAGCTTCTAGATTCCGATGGCGAGCCGATCGAAGACGAGGATCAATCTTCAATGATGTACGAAGACGCATTGGGTTACCAGTTGGCTCCAGATGGATTTCCACGGTACTACTTGAAAAAACCGCCAGGTGATCCACAGCTGTATGCGTTCCCAATTCCGCCAGATGTCATTTTGGATGAAGTTCGTTTGTTATTGGAACCAAAATGGAAGAAGAGATTGAGACACGTCATTATGGTCTTCTGTTGGCTGGTGAGTTTGAAAACATTTATTTATTTTTGCTGGGACTGTCTTAAAAACTCCAGGTGTTTTTAAATCGCGTTTTATAAGATAGCCTACAAACGATCAACTTGGACCCAACTTATCTTAATTCCTGTCAAAGATATTAAAAATAGTCAACTGATAAAATATTGCTAACACTATGATAAATATTTTGTTAGTTGACAACTTTTCAATTTCTTTCACATAAACCGAGATAAATTAGATCAAATATAGCGGCTACTTTTACAGGTTTTGTCATCACCAACTTTGACCCAATTTATGTCGGTCCCCTTAAGAGATATTAAAAAGTAACCAACTAACAAAATGTTTGTAATGTTATGATAAATAGTTTATCAGTTGAGCACATTTTGATATTATTCACAGGAATAAATTGGCTCAAAAGTGACAGTTGGTTTCGCGACGACGTAGCTCGGAAACCTTAAGCTGATTCCATTGGTGTCCCAACAACCTACTACTTCTCGGCATTTCATACAACGAATCTCAATGAAAAAAAAATATTCCTGAAAATTCCAGATCATGCGTCTCGTCGACTTGTTGATTGCCCGTTGGTTTGTCAATTGGGTTCCACGACTCCATCGTATGTTCCTATTCGGAAATGCTGCGATTAGCTGGAAAATCGGGTCGAAATGTCTCATCAAAAAACCACCCCGTCCGTGGATGCTTCGTTTTACAACGGTTGGTTTTGGATAATTAGGGGTATTTAGAGAGAAAGTTATAGTACTTAATTAGACAGCTTCAATATAATCATTTCATTACAGTACACCATCAATTTGATCTACTACCCACTGATCATCACATCCTTCCTGGAAATCTTCTTCCTGTTCGACGACCGTATCGATGGTCTAATGTTCCACAGTAATTATACCCAGCAAGTTTACAAGAACATTCGTCAAAACACGTGGCAAATTGTGTACAACGATTCGATGTACTTCTCCAATCCATTCAAGATTGAGTGTTAGTTAAATTGGTCAATTTTCCAAGAACTTTCCCATTTTCGCCTATATCTTGTACTTTGAGCTCGATTATCTCGGTTGCTGTAAGAGATACCCAAAAGTGGTCAACTGATAATGTTTTTGATGCTATTATAAACATTTTGTTAATTTACTGCTTTTTGCTATCTCTTATAGGAATCGAGATAATTGAGCTCAAAATTAATTGCCTTCTGTGTTCCAGTACCCTCAGGGTCTTTAACTTTAAGCCCAATTATCTCGGTTCCTGTTGAAGATAACTAAAAATAATCAACTGTCAAAATGCTTAAAATGTCATTTTGCATATTTTATCAGTTAATGATTTTTCAATACCTTTTACAGAAGCTGAGATAATTAAGATCAAAGTAAAATCAATAATTTTCTTCCCCCTCCCCCTCCCCCTGCCCCGTCTTTTTTGACCCCTCAATTACTCCAAGCCCCAAGCCCGTAAACTTTAAACTCATTTATCTCATTTTCTGTGAATGATATCAAAAAGTGGTCAACTAATAAAATATTGATGATAACGTGAAGAACATTTTATCGGTTGACAACTTTTTGATATCTCTTAAAGGGACCAAGATAAATTGGCTCAAAGGTAAAAGTTAGCTTTAAATTTCCCGAACCAATCTTCCCTTTTTCCATGATTCTTTTCCTTGAAAATTGAGCATTCTCAATTTTTAAAATTGGTGAATTTGGCTGATTTTTTAAAATCTGAATGAAAAAAATACATTTTTTCAAATTGTTATTCAAAATTTATTAGAATCAGTACACAATTGAGCAAAAAACGGAACCCGCTGATAAGATGGATAGGCTGCAAGATAAAAAAAAAACAGTTCAAACAAAAAAAAAATCCAGAAATTTTTTTCAAAAACCCGCAACTTGAAACAAATATAGACATGATTAGAATTAAAATTTTTAAAAGAGACTTAGACACAAAAAAAAGCATGGCAACACGATAATGACATTTAAAAACTAGATAAAGGGACTACTGTAGTCTAGAGAGGGTTACTGTAGTGTGGCAACAGTGTATAAACCGGCATGATTAGAGAGAGGAATATTATGAGGTTTGAAAAATGAATCAAAAATGGTTTTTCAACTGCTGCATTACATAGTCGGGTAGAGTTTCCGGTTCGGCGAGGATGCTGGAATTCGTGGCAAGGGAGACCTGAAAAATGGGAAAGTGTGCATTTTTGCTTGACGGTGTATATATATTCATATCGTACCGTATGGTTATTGTACAGTACTCTTATATAGTCACGGATATACAGTACCGTACAAGGACATACAAACATACAGCAACAAACATACAGTACCTTATACAGTAACTTATAGGATACTGGACCAATAATCCTATTTTGTCTTTTTAGTGAAAAATAGTCAACTTTTAAGTCCTACAAATGTATTTCAGAATTTTTCAGTTTGTTTGGAAATTTTAGAGTACACTAATCAAAAATCGAGTTTTAATTTTGTAGTTAACATCTTTTTTGTAACTCTGTTAGTTTTCGAGATATGCGCCTTCAAAGTGGAAGCATCCTTTTAGTGAAGAAAAAAAGCGCAGAGAAGGCAGTGTGCTTTGAAGGCGCATATCTCAAAAACTAGCAAAGCTGCAAAAAAGTTGTCAACTACAAAAAAGTTTCGAACGAATCTGAAAATTCTAAAATACTTATGTAAGACGTCGAAGTTAGCTGATCTTCTACTACAAAAGTGAAAATCATCTTCCGGCTATAGGACGACACATGGCTCATATTAAAGCAGCCAACTAGAATTTATTTTAAAAACTTCAAAATTCCTAAAACTTACCAAAAGTGTACTAGCCAATGGTCGCAACTCGGTCGCCTTCCAATTCTTATTGATCCAATCTGAGCACGACGCGGCGACCTCATTCCTCGAACTCGAGTCTCCAGCTACCGTAGCCGCAAACGAGTTCTGTTGAGTAACACAAATCGGTTTGAGCATTTGTGACATCACCCAGAATCGCCAGTCCTTTTTGGCACTATCCTTGACGTAGCGATCAAAGAAAGTTTCCAGGGAAGTTTTGGAGTCAATCTGAGTGGATGTCGATGGGGCGCTCGATTGGGGAAGATTAGTTTGAATCGATGAGATTCGCTGATTGAGCTTCTCAATTTTCGCCTTGGCTTCCTCGATTTTCTGCGATTTCTCCCATTTGTCATTTTGAAGGCGTCGGATGTGATCGGCGGCTTTCGCGAGGACTACCGCGTTGGTGGGTTTAACACCGCCCGAGTAGAGGTCAGGGATCTGGAATAATCGAAATCATTTGTCTTTTAAAAATCAAGCGGAATGGGGTCCTGGGCTACAGAAATCAGGGCCGCAGCCGGCCGCGTACATTTAGCAATTTGAAATTTGGTGTCCTAGAAATCCTAAATTCAAGAAAGTTAGCCCCCCGGCAGCTACATGAACCGAGAAAGCTAAATTTTATTATTCCAGTTCAATTTTCAGGTTGAAAAATGTCAATTTTTAGTTATAGCGATTTGAACTTTAGTGGCCTAGAAATCCAAAACTAGGCCATCAACATTTTTGAAATTAACAAAAACTCACAATATCCATCAACTGATCAAAGCCATCCTTCAACGCACTTCTCCTATTCTGCTCGGCGTGCAAATGAAGAATCCGTTTTCTTTCCTCCGGATGTAATGTGGAATCTGGAGCCTGTCTTCTCATAGACTTCACACTCGATGGAGCACTCATCGGAAGTGGTTCTTCTTTCGGCATCGTCTGCTCCGCCGAAATGCTTGCACTTGCTGGAAGTACTGTAGTTTGTGGGATTTGTCAGAAAATTACAGTAAAGAAATTTTCATATTCATAATCAGCGTGAAAAATGGGTACAGGGGCATTTTTCTAGAAGTTTCCAGCTTAATTTTGAAATTTTGTAGGTTACTGTAGCGCCAGAAGTATGCAATTACACCAAATCCAAGATTTTACGACACTTTGTGCTAGACTAATTTTGGGGTGTAGAACGCGAATCTGTAGATAGACTTTCCAAGGAAATTCTCGTTTTCCAGAATTTTCGGAATTTCGTAGGCACTCACCTTGTCTCGTTGTCATCTTCTCTGTTTCTGCCTTTATCACTTGCTGTTCCATCTTTCCACTACCATTCAACAGTTTCACATCACACGACTGTTGTCTATCAATGATGGGTGGAGGCGGAGCTTCTGGCTCCCTAATGGGCGGGGCGATGATCTTGGGCGGTACCGAAGCTGGTGGTTGACTGATTAGAGTGTCCGCCGGGCTACTCAACACAGATGGTTTTGTGGTTACTGCTGCAGCCAGCGCTTGATACGTTGGCGATTGTTCCATTTTCCAGGGCTCCCCTAGAGATGTGGTTCGGAGTCTGGAGAGGCTAGAGAAGTCGAGTGGAGATTGAATCGGGGTGTTTTGAGATGTAAGCGATGCAAATATCTTTCCAGCTCCAGCTGCTTGAATCGGTGGTTGTTCCAATCGCTGGGATAGTGTTGGTATTCCAGATGGTATGGATGAATTCTTGAATCCACTGGACCCATTACCCAGCAAGAATCCGTCTAACGGAGTTGAAGGCCCGGTTTGATTGGTCAGTGGGAGTGGGGTAGCAATGGATAGTGGACTCTGAACACTTGCTGTCAGTGGACTATCCAGCCACCAGGATCTCGATGGCGCCATCATTGGATCATGTGATGAGGGAGTTGGTTGAGGTGTAGAGGAGGATTGCAGGAATTGTGGCATGTACGGATCGTTTTGAGGGACCTGGAGGATGTTGGAGCGGATTTGTTGTTGTTGAGAATTGAGGATTCGTTCGACATGGTTTTGATGTTGAAAATTGACCAAAAAGTTATTCTGCTGCTGCTTATTCCAGTGCTGTGGATGTGTCATATGCTGCTGACCCATTACATTTCTGACTGGTAGAAATGCAGGATTCATGTTGTAATGAGATGAAGTGGCGTATTGTGGTTGGGATGATGATGTGGATGGCGATTGGCTTAGCATTAGCATCTGAGAGGTGATTGCTGAGGACTGTCGAGTTGGCATCAGTCGACAATCCATCATTGCTACAGAGTGCGCGGCCATGAACTCTTGGGTTGGTGGACGAGCGACGGGTTGTTGGATTTGATGGGGTGGTTGTTGTTGGGGTTGTTGAGGTTGCTGTTGGATGGCCTGAAAATTGTTTAGGTAGAAGGTTTTGGGACGGAAGCAGCCGGGGGTACGGTACCCCACCACTCGCGCTCTTGCGCATTTCTAACTTTGACCAAATTTATCTCGGTTACTATAGGTGATATTGAAAAGTGGTCCACTAACAAAATATTTGCCATAATGTTCTCAACATTTTGTCAATTGACAACTTTTTAGTATCGTTTACAAGAAACGAGATAAATAGAGTCGAAGTGGAAGCTTTTTTTGATTCAGGCTGAGTTTGCGGGTCTTTAACTTTGAGCTAATTTTTCTCGGTTACTGTAAACGATATCAAAAAATGGTTCACTAACAAATTACACAAAATTTTATGGTGAACAGTTTATTAGTTAACAACGTTTTTCTATCTTTTACGGGAAAAGAGATAATTTGGCTCAAAGTTGGGTTAGTAGTCAACAACTCTCGCGCTCCCAAGAGATCCGCAGAGAAGTCAGCGCGTCTCGTTTCTCTGCGTCTCTTCGAGGTTAATATTAAAACGAATGTGGTTAATATTAAAACGAATGTGTTAGGTATCATTTTGTAGATTTTCCCAAGTTCTATATTTTACTTTTAAGGTTTAAATTAGTGCTCCATGCTTAAGTCAATCTTCACTCACCTGCATCTGATGCAACGACGCTGATGACGACGCCGACCTTCTCATCTGTGGTGCTTGCGAAGTTGACGGTCGTTGATCGTTAATCGGTGTCCTCATACTATCCCTCTCTCCAGGAAACGGTGGCGAGTCTGGCATATCACTCAAAGACATCATAATATCCTCTATAGTGGGTTGTAAGGGTAGAAGGCCTGGCTGCATAATGTCCGCGTTGTTACCACCGCCGTCTGAAGCAAAGTTTAGATAAATCGCGCCTTCCAAAATCGAAAAAAAAAACTTACAAACATCCCTCGGATCGGGGAACATGTACGGTTCACTTAATGAATTCAAAAAGTCATCGGTGAACACATTATCCAGGTCGTCTAAATCCCAAGCGAACTCATCGGATATCGTATGCTTCGGCGTCTGACTCCTTTGCAGTTTGACTGGCGGTTCGCAGACTCGAGCCAAACTGTTTTGTGCTTCTTTGAGGGATGGTTGTTTCTGAAAATGGTTTGAGTTTGTTAACTTTATACTTGTAATGTGGGATCCCATAATGAGACGAGGCAAACACTTCGCCCTAACTTTGATCCTATTTATCTCATTCCCTTTAAAACATATCAAAAAGTAGTCAACTGACAAAATGTTTATCATAATGCCAAAAATATTTTGTTAGTTTACTACATTTTGATATCTCTGATAGGAGCCAAGATAAACTATCTCCAAGTTGAGCGTCCTTCTGGAGGGCTGGCCGCGGCGTCTCAAAGTAGGTGCGCAGCTACTATGCCCCATAACTCAATTTAAAATAGGAATTTTTGTTTGAACCAAAAAGCAAAATGTAGATCTTGAAAATATCTACAACATTGTATTAGATTTGAATAAATTCGGGTGCCGGGTTTTGAAACAGAATCCGCCAAAGAGCCGTGTCGGCAAAATCACCCCAAACTGCAACAACATGTTTCACAACCTCTGGTCTCAAAGCTCAAAATTCAAATATAGTTGAATAATATATTATTACGTAGGTCTTATAAAGTTCTACACCTTAGAATTTAATTTCTAAAAAAAGTTAGGTTTGAACTGAGTTATGACCTTTCCTGTGTGACAGACATATGGCGAGGGCTCACTAATTTTCTAGCGCTCGTATCTTGTCACAAAGTTGAGCAATCAAAATGTTTTTGGCTAATAAAATGTGTGAAATTTTGTATACTTTAATTTTGTAGCTAAGCACTTTTTTCTGTCCCTAACATTAACAAAGATATGACTCAAAGATAAGACTCAACGGGTCGATTTTGTCGACCAGGATGTTTTTCGGATTCTGGCCCAAAAAACTGGCATTTAAATGTAGTTGATTTTTTATATCGTTTTGTAGATCTACTAAAGTTGTACATTTTAAATTTTGATTCAAACAGAAATCCCGAATTTGGAGCGAGTTTTGCACCATCCAATAGTCTACCTACCCTCTTCCTCTTCCCACTCATACTGCTAACACTTGTCGATGAACACGTTGATACCATTCCCCCTTTTTCCGCAATCATACTATGTTTGGATCGAATTCTCCACCGCTTATACTGTGCACAGACTCCCTCCATCTTCCGCTTCCAATACATCCCCTCTACAATGGATCCTTCGATTTTCTGATGCGTCGTATCATCGTCGGGTACTGTGAAGTAGCAGAATGGCTTTTTCGGCTTCACCGGCTGCTTTTTTCGGACTGAAAATTAAAGAAATTGAAACTGGAAAAAGCCAAAAAATTTACATTCGATATAATAGGCTCTCCAAATCACATTATTCAGCCGAATGCGTTGTTTCCAGTGTAGCCGTAGACCTTTGAAATCCTTCCATTTTGGTGTGGTCATCTTGCTGAAAACGAGAAAAGTTAGAAAAATGAAATAGGATGTTTCTAAAATTGAAAGCTATCATTTTGGGAAATTATAAACAATTTGAATTGTTTATTTCACTTTAAATTTTTTGTAGCTCCTCCCTCAACCCCATTCGAGTGGCCACTCCCCATTTACAAGCCCTCCTTTCTTATCAAGCATAACGACTTGATGAGAAGTGTGGTCTGGTGGTCGAGGTGTGTGTGCGCTTGTCTACGAATCTGCAGGCCTCGGTGTTGCAGGTTCGAACCCCAGGTAGGCGTTTTGTATTTTTAAAACTTTTTTTTAAAATAATTTTTTGAAAACTCACTTATAAGCCACCTTGATACACTTGTTGAGCTTGTTCAACGACACATCAATCGCAATGGACTGCGTTTTTCCGACACCAAATTTATAAAATGTCACTGGCTTCTCATCCAACTGCTTATTCTTATTATTATGTGTCGCTTCTGTGGACTTCTCGTCGTCCTCCACCACATCCACCTCCACGTCTTCATCGTCTTCTTCTTGTATCTGTTCGTCGTGAAGATTCGAGGTCATAAAGTGCCCACTGTGGATGATTTGATTTGGACCCCGGGACATGGTGGGTCTGGAAAATGGAAATTAGGTGTTGAGCAATTTGAGCAAAAGAAGAGAAAGTTAAGAGGGCAAAAAAGTATTCAAAAAATGGCAAAAAAATAAAGTTTGATCTATTTTGATCTAAAATTTTGAAATGAGAATTCGAAAAACAATTATGAAAAAAGGGCGAGTAGGTCAAAATATTTTTTGTCGTCTTTCACTTTGGCTAATACATCTCAGCTCCTGTAAGAGATATCAAAAAATAGTCAACTAGCAAAACGTAGCACATAAAATTTCCTACATTTTGTTAGTTGATTACTTTTTGATATCTTTCACAGAAAATTGGCTATATGGACTCAAAGTTGGAAGTAGTGTGAGGCCTTGAAGGGCGCAGCTCTGCATGGCTGCAAATTTTGAGCTAAATTATCTCAGCTCCTGTAAAAGATATCGAAAAATAATTACTTAACAAAATGTAGCACATAGAACTTCCTACATTTTGTAAGTTAACTACTTTTTAATATCTTTCACAAAAATTGAAATATATGATCTCAAAGTTGACAACTTGGGGGACACAGGGGGGGGGATAGTAACTTTGAAGCGTTTTATCTCAAAAACTATCAATTATTTTTTAAAAAAATCAATTAATAAAATGTAGCTGATAAAATTTCCTATATTTTGATAGGTAAACACTTTTTGACATATCTTTTGGGAACCGAGATATTTATTATCAAAGTTTAGCTTTCCATCGTCCGCCATTCACCCGCCGGTGGCCAACTTTTAGGGAAACTATCTTAAAAACCCCAAATATTTAAGAAAAGAAAAATCTAAAAGTAATAAAGGCATATAAAATTGTCTTTTTCTTGACTTTGCCCCAACTCTTTGGTAAGACGATGGGGTAGGAAAAGAGAGAAGAAAAAGTGAATCAGTTGTTACAACACCACGTGACGAAGAGAAAAAGAAGAAAAATAATCGTCTGCGTCTCTAAATCTCTCGCTCTCTCTATCTATTGTTTTCGGAAGACCGGACCCCTCCATCGGATGCAAAAGGCGTTGAGAAGAAGAGAAGATAGGGGGGTCATTTAAGGAAACAGAGAACATCGTGAGAAAATTTTTTTTGCAGAAATAATAATATTATTTTAAGACAGGACATGTTTATGGGAGTATCAAAAAAATTGGACAGACAGTGAGAAAATTGTTTTTAGAATTTTAAACAGCAATTAATAAAAACACAAAATGTTAACTATAATTATTCAATATTTTTGAAAACGAAAGAGACGCTGAGAAACGAGACGCACTAACTTCTCTGCGTCTCTCTTGAACGTAGACCATTCCAACTTTGAGCCGAATTATCTCGGTTACTGTAAAAAATATCAAAAAGTAACCAATTAACAAAATGTTCAGAATGTTAAGGCAAACATTGTGTTAGTTAATCACTTTTTGATATCTCTTACAGGAAATGAGATAAATAGGGTCAAAGTTAAGAAATCTTATTTATAGGTTTTTGGTAAGTTCCGACTATTTTGACGGATGTTTTCAAATGAGGTGGGAACTGTATTAAGCACTTCAAAGAAGGAGGGACATGAAAAATATAAATTTCTTAAAATTTTGTACATATAGAGGGTGATTGAACTTGTGGGCTCACCGTTGCAAGTGCCGCGTTGCTACCAGCTGAGCTACTGTAGCGTAAGAAACTTAACTTTGAACCAATATATCTCATTTCCTGTGCAAGATATCAAAAAGTGGTCAACTAACTAAATGTTTATCATCATATGATGGAAAACGTTTTGTTAGTTTAGTGACCACATTTTTTATCTATTACAACAACCGAGATAAATTAGATCAAAGTTGAGAACTTGTGGGTCCCCAGTTGGAGGTACCACGTTGCTACCAGCACAGCTACAGTAGCGAAAATCTCAAAAACGGAGACAGCTATAAAAAAGTGATTTACTGATAAAATGTAGCTGATAAAATTTCTTATATTTTCTTTGTAGTTAAACTATTAAAACAGGTTTTGGTTCAAAAGATACAGGCGCTTAAAGTTAAGAAGTCTTAAAATTTCGGGATCCAAACTTTGAGCCGATTTATCTCGGTCCCTTTGAAAGATATCAAAAAGTAGTCAAATAACAAAATGTTTATCATATTATCACCAACACTTTGTTAGTTGACCACTTTTTGATATCTTTTACAGGAACCAAGATAAATTGGGACAAAGTTAATGGTTAGGTTAGGGCGATGGTCAAGTATAAATTCTATGCATATTCAAAATCAAAAAGGCTGGAATTCATGTCACTCGGAATTCTTTTTTTTTTCTTTTTAAAAAATTTGTTAATCCGATTCTGCGTCCTTCTCCCGATTGAATTTCACCTTCACTTGTTCTCATGGGCAAACATTATATTTATCTTTTTTCTCTATCTCTCTTTTCTCTAACTTTTTCAAGATTTTGTTTCGAGCTCATAAGGACAAAATGTCTACAAAAAAGAACCCTGGGAATCTAGCTAAAAATTGTATTCTCAAAAGTCAATAATCAATAAACAGTGTTCCAGAGAAACCAGTGGGAGGCAAAAAATCCGAAATGTTTTGTATGTGTCTCTGTGTGATCATGAAACGGGTGTGATGGAAAAATATATGAAAAAGGAGGCGAAGAAGAAGACGAAAACGATTGATAACACAAACATTAGTGGTCTGATATGATATGGAAAATAGGGGAGGGGGATGGATGAGGTGTGATAAGAAATATGGGTGCCTCGGGATTCTGTTTAACTGGTTTTTTTTTGAGATATTTAATCTAGAAGTTGGCCAACGGTGGACCAACGGTGGACCAACGACAAGTCAAACTTTGACCCTTGTTATCTCGGTTCCAAGAAGAGATATCAATAAGTGGTCAACTGATAAAATGTTTGAAATGGTATAAGCTACATTTTATTAGTTGACCCCTTTTTGATATCTTTAATAAGAAATGAGATATATGGGCTCGATTTCGACGATTTGAGGGGCAGTCACCTAAGAGTTGACCACCGGCGGGTGAACGGCGGATGACAGCAAGCTACCCTTGGACCATTCATATCTCAGCTCCCAAACAAGATATCAAAAAGTTATAAATTGAAAACAAAATGTAGAAAATTTTTTCTAAATTTTATCGGTTGACTGCTTTTTGATATCTCTTACAGTAACCGAGATAAATGGCGTCAAAGCTAGGCGCTCTTGTGCAAAGTTGAGCAACGGGTGGTCGCGGCCACCCTTTTGTCTGTCAGACCTAATTATCTATATAATTTGAGATTTATTGATTTTCAAAAAAATATATATAAAAATCGGAATAAAAAGATGTAGTGTTTACTAAATTTTCCATCCTAAAAGAGTGGATTTTTTTTCAAAAAATTTCGAATTTCAGATTTTTCAACTTTTGAGCAAAAAAAAGAGTTTTGCTATAAAATATTCAATTTTGGTGAAATTTCAGAATATTCAATTTTTCGCTAGCTACAAGAATTATGAAAAAAAATTGGCCTAAAAATAATAATTTTCTAGAAAATCGAAAAACTTTAAAGGTGCAAGAAGACGATTAAGCTGTTGGTCCGGCTTCAAATACTTTCAATATGCTTAAAATATACTTTAACTATGCGCCTTTAAAGAATTGTTTAAAGGTACATCGTTGCTGAACAACGATTATATCGCTATAAAAAAAATAGAGAAAAAGGTGAAAAAAGACAAAAAATGCATTTATTGTCATCTCTATATATTCTCCCTCTTCGAGTTTCTAACCCCGTGTGAGTTTGTGCGAGCGACGTGTGGTGTATTTGTGCTGCCTACCCTGCCGGGTCGAGTGCATCCGAGAAGAGCGATAATGCACTTTGCAGAGACGCAGACAGACATAGAGACTAGAAAGAGAAGGACGGGACGCAGACACTGGGAAAATTGCAGGGTCCCTGGGAAGACGGTCCAAAGAACAACCTTCACAAAAAGAGGAAAATTTTTTTTAAAATTTATTTTTGTACACAATTAAAAGTTAGACTGTCCGGGAGAGGGGTGTAAAACTAGCAGCACGTGGTGGAGACGGAGAGTGAGAGACGCAGAGAAATGGACTACGTGCTGATGGCGGAGAACTTGTCCATTTTGAGGAAGAGATATGGACCGCCGCCACGTGACAACGGGGGGAATTCTCGTTTCCGATGATGATGACGTCATCATTATCATCTTCTATTTCTGATAAAATGATTCGGGCGGTCTAGTCTTCCCTGAATTGGATCAATTGGATTATCTTTATTTAGGCCTTGACCCTGGCAGATTCTTATCTAGAGAGACGATCGACGAAACCTGAAGGGGAGGGGTCTGAAAAATAATGATCATTGATTATTTTTTGCTGTCAAACTACAAACTACAAAATACACAATTTTGAATTTTGTGTTAGAAAAACGAATTTTCTTCTGTTTAACAATAATTTTCGCCATAAATCCCCGAAATAAATTTGAAGAAATTTCACATAAAAATTGCTTTAATTCTACAATTTTTTACTCCAAAAAACCGCTCGTAAATCGACACAAAATTAAAGGCGCAAGTCTAAAATTTTTCGTTTGAGTGTCGCCACGATTACAGTACCTTTAAAAAAATATTTTTTTAAAGTTTTTCCAGGTTTTTCAGCGATTTTTTTGTAAATTCTAGGATTATTTTGTTTTAAAAACATTTTTAACGGTTTTTAATAGTTTTTGCACCGAAAATCGCGTGAAAAATCTGAAATTCGCTAAAAATTACAAATCTCGTAAATCGAAATAAAGTTAAAGGCGCAAGCAGAAAGTTTTTTGTTTGAGTCCCACCACGATTACAGTACCCCCGATTAATTTTGTTTCTTCGCTTTTTTCGATTTTGTTCCGCCCGTTCTTGCCGTGTTTCGATCAAAATTTCAATACAAACACACTAGCAGTTTTATTGTATTCTCTTTTAAAATCCAACATATTCAAAGATACATCGAAAATAAAAAAGAGAGGAAACAATCAAAATTCTACGGCGCGCAAAGGGGGGGGGGGAATTAGAAAAATAGCAAAAAAACAGGGAAAAAAGGCGAAAAATGGGAAAAAAAACGGATGGCGAATTTTTGAAACAGTGGGAAAAAGGGAGAAAAATTAGGTGAGAGTGGGTGGGGGAGAAACCAGCGTGGATCGGGGGGAGGTTCGGGTTGTTCGGTGGGGGGTGAAGGGGCGATTGGAATGCATTTAGAAGTCGTCGACAGATGAGAGTTTGACAGTCTCTCCAGGCTTGAATGGTGGCTGTCCGAGATAGGGGCACGTGGCACAGCGGAACGCGTCTCCGAGAGCGCACTGAAAAAAAAATGGCGAATGTAGAAATGCACTAAAAAAAGAAATTTAAGCCTATTTTGTCCAGCGGAGCGTAGTTGCGGGATTTTTTTTTTGAAATTTAGAAAAAATCAATTTTCGCACTTGGGTTCAAGCGAGGGGGTCAGAAAGCGCGCCCCAGTAAATTTTTCAAAAATTCTCAATTCGCTGCCGAACTTCGTTGGCTGTGTATTACAGTTTTAAACGATGAGCGAGAATACGCGCGTTGCAACCCGTTGATTTTTAAGAAATAGATCATGATCTAGTTCAAACCCGCGTTCTTTTTAAAATTATTAAATTTCTTCTGGCCTACGTGTTTGCTGGGGCGTTTTTTCTGACCCCCTCGTTTGAACCCAGGTGTTTTCGCCATTTTTTCGAAATTTCCAAAAAAAAATGCTGAAAAATTTCGATTATTTCGGGAATTCCAGACTATTCGTTTTTCGGAATTTTCAGAATTTCCTGAATTTTTTGAAAAATTTCAAAGATTAAAAATTTTTATTTTTCAGAAATTTCGGAATTTTTAGAAAATTTCAGAAAATTTATTGAGCCGAAAATTTTTTTCAGGAATTCCAGAATTTTGGATTTTTTCGGAGATTTTCATGATTTTTAGAAATTTTGCAGAATTTTCAGAACTTTTCCGTAATTTTCGTAATCTAATAATTTTCAGAACTTTTTGGCAATTTTGGCAATTTTCGGATTTTTCGAGTTTTTCGAAATTTCAAAATTTTGGGATTTGTTTTGCAACCACGCTCTGCTGGACGTCAAAATCAGAAAATCAAAAAGTTGTTTGAAAATCCCACATTTCCACAGCTGCTCTTCGCAGCCGACGCCTCAGCAATCTTGCCCATCTTCTCGGCCTCCTCCTGCTCGGCGAGTCCACAGTTGCAGTTCTTGCACGCGCGTTTCTTCTTATTCGGGTCGTCCGGTCCACATCCGCCGGCCTTGAGCTGATCGCCAGTTGGCTTCTCGTAGTCTTCCTCCTAGATTTTTTCTTATTATCAATTTACGAGGCTCCGCCCCCTCGGAATCAAAATACCGTAAACACTCTAATAGAACGTCACCCGAATCGTTTAATTTGAGCCCATGTATCTCATTTTCTGTGAGGGATATCAAAAAGTGGTCAACTGATAAACTGATATCATGATAAACATTTTATCAGCTGAAAACTGTTTGATATTTTTCAAAAAAAAGTGAGATATTTAGGCTCAAAGTGGACGATGGCAAAACTCATAAAAAGCGACGGCTCCCGATTTCCCAAATTCTCAAATTTCAAAATTTTTAACTCCCTAATAACACAGTACCTGGAGCAATCCATCCTCATCAATCAAATCCTCCTCAACAGTGGCGTTTCCCAAATCCAACGTGACTTTGTCCCCAAAATTGACCGATTTGACACCTCTGGCCGGCCAATCGGCGGCCAGCTCGGTCACACGGAATCCGGCAATTCGAAGTTTCCGATGAGCGGTTGTCAGGTCTGTCGAGAAGACTAGGACCTCGCCGTTCTGTTTCATCACATCGAATACCGTATTGCACACCTCGGCAAGGAGCTCCGTCTCCTGGACTTGGATGATCGCGTGCTCCACCTCGCCGACGAGATCCTCGTTGTTGCGGATTTCTGGAAAAAATCGAAAATTCAAAAGTTCGGAAATTCGAAAATTCAAAAACTCATAAAATCAAAAATTCAGAAATTCAAAAAATTGAAAATTCAAAAATTGAAAATCCAAAATATCAGAAGTTAGGCAAATCAGAAATTCAAAAAATCTGAAACTAGAGAAATTATGAAAGATCAAAAGCGGGAAAATTCCAATTTTTCGATTTTCAGCCAATTTTTCAGCTTAAAAATTCGATGATTTTAGTCAATTTTAAGCTTAAAAATGCGATTTTAGCCAATTTTTTCAGCTAAAAAACGATTTTTAGCCGATTTTTTAGCTTAAAAAATGTGATTTTCAGCCGGCACTCAGCTTCTAAAAGTGATTTTCTCCGATTTTCAGCCAGTTTTTAGGCAAATAATTCGGGGGTACAAGGGGGTACAACGTGATTTAGAGGTACAAACTAAGCCTTTTTCCCGGTATTTTGTACCCCTGAATTGAAGATTTTGTACCCCTAAATTGCTTTGTACCTCTTTGTACCCCCGAATTGTTGTACCCTCCGAATTATATGCCCAGTTTTTAGCTTTAAAAGAAAGTGTGATTGTTGGTCAATTTTTCGGCTAAAAATCGATTTTTGGCCAGTCATCAGCTTGAAAAACCGATTTTCAGCTATTTTCCCTGCTATTTTCAGCATAAAAACCCCCAAAAACTCACTTCTCGCCTCGGCAATCGTCTTCACCACTCTCGTCCCCTCAACACCGTCGGTTCCGGCAACCAGCGGTCCACCGTCCGTCACTTGAAGCAGATTTGACTGCTTCAAAAAGTCGGACAGCGCAGCGGACATCTGGACAAACAGATTTTGTTGAAAAATGAGGGGAAAAATTGAAAAATTAGGTATAAATATAGGCCAGAATAACCCAATAAAATAAAAAAAGTATATGGGAAAATGAGAGAAAATTAGGGTTAAATTATATTAAAAATTGAAGCACACGGAACAAGAAAATTTCAAAAATTCACAAAATTACAAGAGAACAGGATTTGAGATACAATTGATAAAACAAGATTTCAAATTGATAAATTAGGTTAGTCGAGATATGAGTACTGAAAAATGAGAGGGGGAAAAGAGCGGGAATTTCAAAATTAATCAAAATTGGGAAATTGGAAAATTGGAAAAAATCGAAACATTCAAAAATCAAAATTTTCAGCATTTTTGGGGTAAAAATCACATAAAATTGGAGGGAAAATTGATTTTTTTGAAAAAATTGAAACATGAAAATTTTCAGAAAGTTTCAAATATTAATCCGAATCCGATGCATCAGAAGCTTCCGATTCTTCCTCTTCATCCTCCGACTCCTCCTTCGGCGCCGCCTTCTTCTCCTTCTTCTTCGGCTTCTCCTCCTCGTCAGAATCATCAGAATCACTGATATATTCCTTGGAGATGGCCTTCGACGTCGATGGTCCAGATGACTTCTTAGAAGACGTCGTTGGTTTGGAGGAGGAGGATCCACCGCCTCCGCTCTTCCGATACTCCTTCATTTCGGTCTCATATCGAGTCTTGTCTTTTTCCGCCTTCGCTTCCCATTCCTGAAGAAAAAATTTATTTTCTACAGTAACCTTTCCCTACAGTAACCCCTTCGCAAACTGTCGTAAAGTTGGGTGTTTGCACACAGCCAACCTACCGTATCTCTTCGAAAATTGAAAAATCGGCTTCTCTCCGATTTTTTAAAGCATAATATAGCTATTTCAGCAAAAGTGTGCAAAGTCAAGGGGGCGGAGCCTAAATGGCAAGTTGTGCACCTTATGAAATGTGCAGAATAAACTGTGCGGCGTAGCTTACAATTTAGGCTCCGCCCACTTTTGCAGGAAAATTAAAATTTTGGCAAATGCGCTATCTAAAACGTCGCTGTTCTAAAACGTCGCAGTTCTAAAACGTCGCAGTTATAAAATGTCGCGGTTTTAAAACGTCGCGGTTCTGAAACGTCGCTGTTCTGAAACGTCGCGATTCTAAAACGTCGCAGTTCTGAAATGGTCAGTTCTAAAACGTCGCGGTTCTGAAACGTCGCAGTTCTGAAACGTCGCAGTTCTGAAACGTCGCAATTCTGAAACGTCGCGGTTCTGAAACGTCGCGGTTCTAAAATGTTGCGGTTCTAAAATGTCGCAGTTCTAAAATGTCGCGGTTCTAAAACGTCGCGGTTCTGAAATGTCGCGGTTCTAAAACGTCGCGGTTCTAAATCGTCGCTGTTCTAAAATGTCGCCTACCTTCTTATCCTCCGCTCCCAACGTCTTCCACTTGGCTCCAGCTTTCTTCGCCACGTCGGCCACCGAATCTCCATCCTCCTTCAACGACAACCGATTCGCATTGAACCAATGGAAGTACGCCGATTGGGCTCGTTTCGGCGCATTCGGATCCTTCTCCTTCTTTCCCTTCTTTCCTCCCTCTTTCTCTTTCTTCTCCTTCTTCTCCCTCTTCTCCTTAGGGTCTGATTTCCGCTTTTTCGATGGCACGTCTTCCTCAGAATCCGGTTCGGATTCTCCAGTTCCACTAGAATCCTGCTCAGATCCCGAATCGTACTCATCATCTGGCTCTGACGCTGATCCTTCTGACGAGTCCTTCTCCTTGGTCTTACGATCCTTGAGATCCTTGTCAAGATCGTAGTCCTCGTCAGTGGATTCATCGTCGTCAGATTCATCCCTTTTGCGACCTTCCGCCTGGAAACTTTTATATTTTCTGAGGCTTTCAAAGATTCTAAAAATCAATACCTTAACCGCCGCCTTATAAGGGTCAATTTCATCATCACTGGACTCGGCAGCCCTCGCGTCCACCCTCGTCGGATTCCGAATTTTGATATTCTTCTTGCTCAAATAATCAAACAACTTGTTATTCTCCTCCTTCTCCATTGTATTGAAGATAATAGGTCCTCCTGACTTCATATCCACTTCGAAATCCACAGTTCGGGTTACTGTACCCCCATCAGACCTTGCTAGATGACACGAGCTAACGTCTTCATAGCGAAGGTACATTGCTGGCTTATGGATGAACAAGAATCCTTTTTCCAGTGGGTACAGTAATCCTGGATTCTGGCGATGCGTACATTGGATGGCTGGGGTGCCAGAATGACCGATAAAGCGTCCGGGTTCCGTGATTTTGAGGTTGCAAATCGCTTTGAAAACAACGGAGACGGTTTTGTAGATGGGACCGTCCATAGTGCGTTTCAGAGCCCCATTGCTTTCTTCCAGTTGTTCGCTAAAATTGTTTTTTGGTCATTAGAGCTGAAATTGGCTGAAATTCCGCAAATTGGGTCGAATTTTCAGGAAAATTGTTTTTCAGAATTTTCAGGAAACTATTGTTATAGGAACAAATATGAGAAAATCTAGCGTTTTCTGGATTTTTCAAGTTTTAGGGGGACATGTCTAAAAATCCCAAAAATGCTGAAAATTCTAAAAAAATGTCTTAAAAGTTCTAGAAAGTCAAAAATTGCCGAAATTATTCAAATTTCGGAAAAATGTTCAAAATTCGAAAATTTCAAAAAAAAAAAAGGTTTTGAAATTTCTAAGTTCTAAAAACTTCTGAAAATGTCAATATTCAAGATTTTCGATTTTTAAAAAAATCAATTTTTCTTGAAAAATCCCGAAAATCCTAAAAAAGTGAAAATTCAAAAAATTCATGAAAAAACTGCTAAAATTCAGAAGAATTCGAAAAATCATGAAAATGTGCAAATTCCGAAAAATCTGAAAAAAAATGCTGACAGCTCGGAAAGTCCTAAAAAGCTAAAAAATCGAAAAATTACAAAATTAGGAAAATAGCTGAACATTTTCGAAAAGTTCCAAAGATGCTAAAAATTCGAGAAAACATCCCAAAAATGCTGAAAACTTCTAAAACCCTGAAAAATTCTAAAAATGACAAGTACTTAAAGATTTTTTAAAAATCTCCAAAAATCCGAAAAATTCAGAAGATTCCAAAAATTCTTCTAAATCTCAAAAATTGAGAAAACTTCTAAAAAAACCCCAAAAAAACAAAAAATGCCAAAAATTCTGAAAAATGCCGAAATTCTCACATTTTGAACTTTCTGAAAATGGAAAAAAAAACAAATTCAAAAAAAAATTTTTCTTTCAGGAATTTTTGAATTAAAAAAGCTGAAAATTCAAAAATTCGGCCCAAAACTCATGAACCAAAATTCTCAAATCTCCCCAAACTCACTCAGTCAGGGACAACTCCAACTCTTGCTCCTCATCCTTCGGGAAATCCATAATCAAATAACTATATCTAGTCTGCCCCTGCCGAATCGGTGGATTCAACGAAAGCACAAAGAACACACTCCGCCCATCCTTATGAGGCACCAAGAACAACCGATTGATCGATTTAATAGGAATCTTGTAGTCATAAGTCTTTCCATGCAGTGCAATACTCGTCGGGTACACCTTGATATCATATCTTCCACGTGGCGTCGTACACAAAATATCCGTTAGGAGCACAATCGGTTGCTCAGTCTCCGCCTCCAGACCAGCGTAAGCCAGCACTGCCTTTTTGAATTCTTCCACTTTATCCACGTCTTCTTCAGTTTCTGCATCAACTGGCATATGGAACCTCATCTCCATCAGCGCGATTTGAGCATTATCATTTTGATGGAATTCTAGAACGGCTTCATTCTTGTTGGCGGTGACATTAGAAACATTTGTGCAGGGAATCTCGAAAATCGGCTTGTCCTCCCACGAGAATTCGATATTTCTGCCCTTGACTTCTGCTTGACCGTAGGACCATCCTTTGATGAATAAATTGGATTGTTCGATGGGTCGGGACCAGTGGGCATCCGTGAATTTTTGCAGTCTTTCCAGGTCCTGAAGAGTAGAAATTTGAATTTTGCGTCAATTTTCGAATGCTCCAATGGAAACCTAAGCCTATAGTTTTGCCAAAAAATCAACATTTTCTCTGCTTAAAATGTGCTGAAAATCGCCAAAATTGGCAAAAATCACATTTTTACACAGATTTTTATGAAATTTTCGGTTCTGAAAAATGAAAATTTCGCTTATTTTTTGCGATTTTCAGCAATTTCTGAAAAAAAAAACGTTTCTGTCAAAAAAGACGCTGAAAATCACAAAAAAAAAACAGCAAAAAATTTCCAATTTTTGAATTTTTGCGAAAAAATCACTTTTTTCACAGATTTTTAGGAAATTTTCGGCTCAGAAAAATGTAAATTTCGCTGATTTTTGTGGATTTTCAGCGCATTTTCAGCACATTTTTTACAGAATTTTCAAAAATTTGAATTCCGATTTTTGACTTTTTTGAATTTCGCGCCATTTTCCGGTTGAAAAATAGCTGAAAAAGGCGATTTTTTTCTGAAATTTTTCGAATTTTAGTCAGAAAAAATTGAATTTGGCGCCATTTTTTGAGCCAAAATTTATTTTTTAGCGAAAAATTGAAAATTTGAAGAAAAAAGGGCTGAAATCGACACTTTTTCAGTGATTTTTGTGTCAAAACTGGTCATTTCTAGGCTAATTTTCAGAATTTCAGCCGATTTACAGCTGTTTTTCGGTTTTTTTAGATTGAAATTCTTGATTTTTAGCCATTTTTTGGGTCTAAAATCGGTGTTTTTCCACCAATTTTATGCTATTTTCTGAAGTTTTTGAGTCGAAATTCTTGATTTTTAGCAATTTCTCAGCCCAAAAACCATCAATTTTCTTAAATTTTGAGCCAAAATTTCCGGATTTTCTGTCATTTTCCGCCAAAAAAATCGGGATTTTTAGTGATTTTCTCGATTTTCATTTTCTCGATCATTTTTGATCAATTTCCTACCAATTTTAAAGTGAAAATTTGGTCAATTTCGGAATTTTTGGCGATTTCTGAAAAGCGTTTCAGCCAGAAAAATGTGCTGACAATCAGCAGAATTTTCAAATTTGGCGCCAACTTTTGAGCGAAAAACTGAATTTTTTTTGTTGAAAAATCGCCAAAATAGGAGAAATTCGCAGTTTTTTCGCAGTTTTTTTGCGATTTTTAGCTAAATTTTCACAGAAATTTTATTAAAATTATGGCGAAAAATTCAAAAATTTTCGAATTCTAGAAATATCGAAAAACCAAAAACCGAGTAAAAATTCACTGTTTTCAGAATTCTATGCTCAACCAAAGCGGAAAGCGGGAATGCCTCCAAATTCAAATTTTTGAGCTGTTTTTAAGCCTCACCGCATCTTGTAACCCTCCAAACCGATGCACATTCCCATCGTTGACGCCTACACGGAGTCCAGGCTTATTTCCCAGCTTTTGCCACTTCAAACCATCGATATCGTCGCCGGCAACCGTCACCGATCTTCCCCCTTTTTCAGATTTAAAGCTCAATGATTTATCAGTGAGCTTAAGGGTTCCGAGCGCTAGAAGACCCATGTCTTCTAGATAGACTCCGGGGAATTCCATTCTGGAAAAATGAAAAAATCGAAAATTTGAAGGAAAATTCGAAAAATTTCGAAAAGAATGTCACATGATCAATATTCATTGAAGCTGAAAAATCTAAAAAGCAGGTGGAAACCAAAAATATTGATTTTGAAATTCTTTTTTTTCTGAAAAAATTCTTTTCTCTCATTTTACATGTTTTTATGGATTTTTATACAATTTCAGCATAGATTTTTAATAGATTTTTTGAAAAAAATTTTTTCGAAAGTCCCAAAACCATGCGAAAATCGATGAGGGTCATTGTGTGTTGCATTCATTTTGGCGCGCCGCAGCTGCGATGAGTACGGTAGGTGGTGTACGCAAACACCGAGCGCGTCTTGGACGCAGATGCATTGGATTTAACGACAGTTGAGAGTTGCAATTTTTGGAAACTTTTTTCAAATTTTAGCGCTAATTTTTGGGATTTCAGCTGCCTCGAATAAGAAAATCATACAAAATATATGAATTACAGATTATGGACGACGATTTGGACCGATATTTTCATTCAAACAAGGAGGAGGACGTACCGAAAAACGGAATTTTCGCGCCTACTTAATTTTTTCTTTTTTTTAGGATAACCACTCAGAATCTGAGTCCGACGAGGAAGCTCCTGACAACATCGATGTCAACTACGAGCTAGAACGCGCTGAGCCACCCTATAAGCTCTCTGCAGACTTCGCGAAGTTTCTCCACGCCTCCGAGTATCCAGAAGACATTACTAAATATTTGAAATCGCTGAAATTGTTTGAAAAAGACGCGAAAACGGCGGACACTGTTCCAACAAAGTCGCTAAAGTCTGTTGTTAGCGGTTTTGTGCATTATCTGTTGGGCGTCAAGCGGATTCAGAAACCAGTGCTTCGAGGGATCGCAAAAATCTTTGGGCGCTATGATATCTATCATTATATCTCCCCGGAGCTTGTCAAGGCGATTAATGTGAGTTTTAATAGGAGAAATGCTGATTTTCGAAGTAAAACCTTCCAGAATCTCAATGAATCCCGAACGTCCGCGTGGTTCAACCTGTTCAACTTCCTCCAATTCGTCCCCCATCCAATGGATCGTGTCACCAAACCCCTATTCCGTCAATTCTGTATCCGTACCCCATTCACTGAAAAAGACATGAAGAAAAAGAAGTTGGTGTGGATTTCAACGGACTATGATAACGTTTGGATGGCTCTGATGAATGGACAGATCAGTGAGAAGATCACATTGAAACTGATCCCTTATATCACTCAAAATGTGATTTCTCGCCTGAAGACACCCTTCAAATCTGCCGATTTCTTCTTTAAAATGTTCGATAAGAGTGATTATCACGGGATTTTATCGCTTGGCGCCATTTTCAGACTTATCTCGGAGCATAACTTGTGAGTTCTAGACAGCCACAGTAACCTAAAATATTTGTTTTTCGGCTATTTTTCCCCGAAAAAGCTTGAAAAAATTGACGGTTACTGTAGTTTTTTGCACCAAAATATTGAAAAAATTGCTTAAAATCTTCTTCCAGCGAATACCCAAAGTTCTACGACAAAGTCTACTCGTTGACGAACCCATCGCTGCTCTATATGAGCCAAAAGGAGGCGATTTTGACGCTGTTGGATAGCTTTTTGTCGTCGACGTAAGGGATTTTTGTGGTGGCCGAGTTTTTTGGGTTTTCTCAAATTCGGCTGAAAATCTCTGAATTTTGACTGAAACTTATAAATTTTAGGTTGAAAATCACCCAAATTTCTGAAAAAAAGTGAAAAAAAATCTTAAAAATCAGGGAAAAAATTAGGTAAAATTGAGCTGAAAAATCTTGAAAATTCGGCTGAAAATGACGAATTTCGAGTCGAAAATCCTTCAACATTCTGATTTTTCGTCCTAAAATTCTCAAATTTAGGGTTAAAATTCACAGAAATTCCCGAAAAAATAGAACAAGGGCTGAAAGTCATTAAAATTTGACTGAAAATCCCAAAAATTGACCTAAAAATCCTCAAAATTGACCTAAAATCCTTCTTCCATCTATTTTATTTTATTTTCAGTCACATCCCGACCTACATCGTCGGCTCGTTCCTCAAACGTCTCTCTCGCTGCCTCCTACTCGCCCCCATTGATGCTCAGGAGCCAATTTTGGGTCTAATTAGAAATCTGGTCATTCGTCACCCGAATTGCTCAGACTTGGTCCATCGTGAGCAGCCACAAACGGTCTACGATGATCCGTTTGACAATACGGAGACCGATTTGCATAAGACCAAAGCGATGGATTCGAGTCTTTGGGAGATGAAGTTGTTGCAGGTGAAAAATAGGAAGAATCTTGGCTGAAAAAAGCACTCTAAGCCTTTGAATTTGGCGCCAAAATGAGAAATTTTTAATTCCAAAGAATCCGAATTTCCGGAAAATTCGAAAAATCCCTAATTAAAAAATAACTGAAATCGGTTGAAAATTACTGAAAAAAATTTGAATTTTCAAAAATTGGCATAAAATGACTGCAAAAATGGCGTCAAATGACTAGAAATTAGCATAAAATGAATGAAAATTAGCTCAAAATCACTGGAAATTGGCTTAAAATAGATGAAAGTAGGCTTAAAATGACTAAAAATTGGCTTTGAATGGCTGAAAATTAGCCTAAAATGACTGAAATTTGGTAAAGAATGATTGTAAATTGGCTTAAAATTACTGAAAATTGTCTGAAAAGTGCTGAAAATCGTCAAAAATTACCGAGAACGGCAAAATTTTCAAACTTGGCGTCAAAATGCGGGTTTCAATTCTTTAGAAAAGGGGTATATTTTGCTGATTTTCGCGAAATTCTATGCTTTTTTTAGTCTTCGAAATTTCGAAATCTGGAAAAATCGGAATCTAAAAGCGCTTAAAATAGTCGGAAATGGCTGAAAAAAGCGCTCAAATTTCTCAAATTTTCCGCCAAAATGAGTGTCAAGATTGACAAAAAACAGTTGGTGGCCTAGAAAAGGGACCCAGGGACGCAGGTACTCAGGAACCCAGGAACCCAGGGACTTAGGGACTCAGGGAGCCAGGGACCAAGAGACACAGGGAACCAAGGACCCAGGGATCCAAGGACTAATGGCGCGTCCAAAGTGCCGAAATCAGGGATTTCTGGGCCCAGAAAGCAGTCCAAAGGTACAACCAATTANTCCAAAAACGTGCCCATTTCGTCTACAAATCTCTTCAAAAAGTCAAATCCTACTTTCGATTCCGTTGCTCCGACGAGCTGTTCTCCGTCAACATGGCAAAATCGTTCTGAGGCGAGGATGGTGAGGCTGAGAAGTACCGAAAGCTTCAGGACGGTGACGACGACGATGAAGGCGTCGGAAGGGCTCCAGAAGCCAAGAAGCCGCGGAGAAA